ACCTGGGGGGGGGATTGGGAGACTTTGGGAATCCGTGGATGGATGCTAACGCTTTGTTGCTCGTGTAGTGAGTAGCTGAAACCAAGTAGGACCAAGTAGAAACGGGTACCATAGGCGGGAACCTTAGCAAGGGAACTTAGCTAAAGCCAAGGCAGTGTTAGTCGGATAGACGAGATAAGTTGGCAAATTGAAAAGGAAAAATTTGTGGCTTACACTTTCTCCTTTTACTATTTTCTTTAGTCTTCTTTGGTCTCTTTTTGCAATAGTTGCTAATACATTAAATCACCTTAGAGTCTACAATAGCACTTTGGCTATAGGTTGTTGCATGCAATGGAGCTAGTGTGTTCTCTATTAGGAAATGGCCTAGAGCTTTGAGCAAAATTCCCTAGAACATTCTATTGCTGGAATATTCTAGGGCATGATGCAAGGGTATATTTCCTTTCTTCCCCATTTTTTAGTGCATAAAAGATATGTTTGAGTTAGCTTTCAAAGTATGAAAGAGTATTCTCCTTTCTCCCCTCTCAACTGAGGAATAGGATAGAGTTATTGATACATATAAAAGGGATTAATGGAGACTTTCAAAAGGATTAGAAGAGAAATAAAAGAAATTTGATTAGAGTAGACTATGCACTATGATGAAATAGGTGCTCAAGAACACTTTCACTTTTAAAGAGTTCACCAAACATTATCCAAAATGAGATTTAATCAAGTCAGTTTGAGATAACATTAAAGTAAAGGCTAAATTATGGAGAATTCTCATTGAAAGAAAATTGATAAAGAGTTATAATCCACCATGCCTCCTTGTAAGTTCACACCTTTATGAACAAAAATTAAAAGCCACAACTCTCCTAAGAACTTTATTTCTTTGACACCATATCTCTTGGGTTGAGTTGAAAGCCATAACCCCACTCTCTTGACACCCTACCCTTTGGGTTGAGTTTAGTGTGAGACATAAATCCCTAAGCCCCAAAGTGGAGCTGAAAGGATGACATATGACAATGGTTAAAGTGGAGTATATTTGGACCAAAAACTTTAATTTGGAAAGTCGAGAGTGGGAGTGGAACTCTGAACAAGGTGTTTGAGGAATAAACATGAAGCAATTGGTGAATGAGTCTTTTAAAAGGGAAATAAAAAGGACTGACATATGGCAATGTCAAAACCGAGTCCAAGAAAGAGTCTGAGATGGAGTTTATAATGGAATTCGAGATAGAGTCTAAAATGGAGTCCGAGAAGGAATCTAAAATGGAGTTCAAAAAGGAATTTGAGATGGAGTTCGAGATGGAGTTCGTGACGAAATCTGAGATAGAGTCTAAGATGGAGTCCAAGAAAGAATCTAAAATGAAGTTCAAAAAGGAATCTGAGATAGAGTTCGAGATGGAGTTTGTGATGAAATCCAAGATGGAGTCTGAGAAGGAATCTGAGATGGATTCTGAGATGGAATCCAAGATGGAGTTTGAGATGGAGTCCAAGAAGGAATCCAAGATATAGTCTAAGAAGGAATCTGAGATGGAGTTGGAGAAGGAATCCAAGATAGAGTCTAAGATGGAATTCGAGATGGAATCTGAGATGGAATTCGAGAAGGAATTTGAAATGGAGTTTGAGAAGAAATCCGAGATAAAGTTTGAGATGGAGTATGAGAAAGAATCTAAGATGGATTCCAAGATAGACTCTAAGATGGTATTCGAGATAGAGTCCAAGAAGGAATCTGAGATGGAGTCCAAGAAGGAATCTGAGATGAAATTCGAAAAGGAATCCAAAATGAAGTCTAAGAAAGAATTCAAGATAGAGTCCCAGAAGGAATCCAAGATGGAGTCTGAGAAGGAATTTGACATGGAGTCTGAGAAGGAATTCGAGATAGAGTCTGAGAAGGAATTTGAGATGGAGTCCACGAAGGAGTCTAAGAAGGAGTCTGAGATGGGGACCAAGACCGAGACCAAGACTGAGACCAAGGTCAAGGCTGAGACTAAGACCGAGACTAAGACCAAGACCGAGTCTGGGTCTGTGTCTACCTCTGAGTCTACGTCCAAATCTAAGTTTGAGTTTGAGTCTATGTCTCAATCCAAGAGTGAAAGTTGAAAGCAATTGTCTTTTAGACCCTAGGGGTTTGGTTAGCTCTAAAAGGATAGTAGGGGGAAGGATTCTAGTGGAGTCAGTTTGGCTAGAAAAAGGTAGTGTGACCAAAAAAGGTTATATCCATATGGTGGGTAATGATATAACCACTAAAGAGTCCAAAGTTAGAGTGAACATAGACAGACAAGTAGGGTAACTTAGTGAAGTGTTCAAGAGGTAACTTTAGCTTCCCAAGAAATCAAATAATCGATGTTCTCAATCCAAATGTGAATAGCATTACTTACTTGGATACTTGACGTGGCTCATCAGGACCTTTATGGCTAAAGCACCTAAGGGCAGAAGGTGGGGAGAGTACCCCCAAAGCTTGAGTAAGGCCATAGTGTTTCAAAATATCAAAGGGACTTAGTGGGAACTGAAGAAAGGACATTGGGAAAGGGTGTTCCCCTTATCTCTAGGCATTTTAAGGTATGGTTCTAAGATGACCACCTATGGATAGATGATGCAATCTTTGAGAGACAGGACTATGATATGGGTGGTTTTGGACTATCAATGAGATAAGGGTAAATAGATATGAGTTTAATATAATGGGCTGATAGGTCAATAGTACTTTTGGGGTGTTTGTCATGAGATCAGACATATTGAACACTTGGACCAAGTGCAAAGGGTAAGTAACAAGAATGTCATTCACAAGGCTAGCATGTTTTATATCCAAAATGGGATTTATGGAGGTTGTAATTGAGATTCCTTCAAGTGGTTAAAGGTATGGTTAAGTGACTAATATAAAATAGAAAAATTAGTCAGTCATAAAATAGTCAAATTAGTTGGAGCTTACTAAATATCAATCTACCCTACTCTTTAGGTTAAGTGTAGCTGAAGGCAATCTTAACATATGATATGATTCCCCTAGCCAATTAAATGAGTTGGATTTAAGACCCTTTTGATGCCAAATGTGAACTCTTGAAATGGGACTTTTTAGCCTAACACTATTTAAACTTAAAAATATTTAACCCTAAGACCCTTAATTGATTAAAAAAGAAAGTGCATTTTTATTCATGGGCCATTTCCCTTTATATTGTCTCTCAAGTTGTTCTTTTTAGTTATTTACATTCACATCTTTGTAAACAATTATAACTCTCTTAAGAGCCCTACTTACTACCCCTTGAGTTGAGCTAAGCCAAAGCCAAATTAAAAATTTATTGGCTTTAGACTTCCTAATAGATCATCCAACTTAATGCTACTTAAATCTAAGGATATTTAATTCTAAATATTCTAAGACTTTTAATTGGAAAAGGAGGTGTATTTTTGGTTTGCTTAAGCAAACCTATAGGGGGACTAGGATGGTAGTGAATATACCTAGAATATGCTTGGATATTCTAGGATATTCTACCATCTAACGGTTGGTATTCATTTAGATTAATCTGGTATTTATAATTTATAAACATGTTTATAATTTATAAACTTTCCTAAACCCTTTTTAGTATATTCTTTTTTATTCTATCATCTAATGGTTGATATGCAATAAGATTAATCTTGTGTTTATAAATTACAAACATGCTTATAATTATAGACCAATTAGATTAATAAGTAATAATAAAACTACCATTAAGCAAACCAAGCGTTGCTACATGCAATGCGTAGCAATTTATTATTTATAGGCATTTTTTTATATTTAAACTTTATGGATTAAATTGTTCTCTTTGGTTGTATATATTATGCTTCAACTATGACAAATTCTAGGAATATACTTTTATATATTATATAGAAGATGTATTATATAATATTTTTGATTACAGCCAATAAGGTTTTCTCCATCTTTTTATTGGCCATATTTTTGTTTTCCTCTTCCTAAAAAATAAAGTATTGTATTTTGGAGTATGATCAGTAATATATATTCTCAAGAACATGATTGTTATATGGGTGGGTAATATATGTTCTGAAAAATATATACAGCTCTTGCATATAACAAATCTCAATCCAACAATTACCAACTACCAAATCACTTTAATAGGCAATCCAATACCTATTATGGAGCTAACTTAATCTATGATCAAGTGTGAACACCCCCTACCATCCTCATATCAAGAACCTTATCTCTCAAGAACCACTCCCCTTGCCATGGGTGCCTATTGAGTAAGTATTAAGGAAAAACAAGGGATGTAGTTAAAGACTTAGCCTAACTGGTCAATGAAGGGAATTACATATAATGGATTGTTCAAACTATACTAAAATGTAGCAACAATTGTTACTAAAGATGTTCAACTTTAAAGCTTTTTTTGTTTTTTTAGATTTAGAACTATCACGTTAAAGTTTACTTCTCAAGGCTAAATCCCGCTGCGTCTGCTAGCTCCTCTAAACTTAATTCGCCCGAATATTTCTGGAACGCAAGCGAGCTCATATCTTGACATGAAAATCAATGGAAGAAGTACACATACCTCGCCCTTTATGATCCAGGTAGGAAAGCCTTCGATCTTTGCAGCCTCGCAAGCCTTCGCCGTCTTGACGTTCTTCCTATACCCATCTGGAAAGCACTCAACGTACTCCAAGATCTTCATCGCTTCCTTGCCTAGCTCCTAGAAGTGATAGCGATGAAAAACCAATAGAAGTATGGATAGACAACAGGCTACCTGTTTCTGCTCGTGACAATGAGAACACCAAAACGCACCGTACATCTTTGCACCGATCGACTTGAGATGTTTCGCAAGCGCCATCTTTGTTGCATCGGAAGACGTTGTTACCTCCGGTTCAATCGGTGGTAAGTCGATATCTTCAGACGACCTGTATGCAATCGGCAACATCTGCCTTTCAAATCTCTTGAATATAAATTCTTTCATTTACCCCGCAAGAGCAGGACCAGCAGCTGCAAATCCCGTAGATAACGTAAAGATGACCGCAGCTCCAACCACGAGCTGCAAGCCAGCCATTCGAGGCACATCCTTCCACTTGAATCCCTGTCTAGCAAAGAAGCTGGCGTAAGCACAACGTTTTAAAGAAGAGAAAATAAAACCAAAGACTCCTAAGATCGCGAACCTTGAGTGTAGAGATAAACAAGCCAAAGGATAAAAGTACTGACGCCACGCAATAAGCGCACGATGCATTCTCGAGCTTGAAGGTCAAGAGATATAAGAAATAGCTGCTCGCAGAGACTAGAGCCGTCGTGCCTCCGAGAAGCAGCCATCTCACATCATCTTCCGGGAAAAGAGATTGGATCATCGAGAAACCAAGCAGAGATATACTGGAGTACGCAACAAAGCCGATAAGTGACAATGGAGTACCTGGAAGAGATAGAGCTATGAAAGTGAGTAAACTAAAAAGAACCAAAGAAGATCTTAGCAAGGAAAAGCATTACATACCAAAAAGGGTGGAATAAGCGCTGTTCAAGACATCGTTGCATCCATGGCCCGGGCCACTAGCCGGACAAATGGCCGAGCCTCCAAAAATTTTAATCCAGGAAAGATACGCTGTTTCGATCGCTCCTAGCCCGGAGAGTGATGTAATCAAACCGTATGGGATTTTCCTTGGCTCCGGCTGAATCGACACGCTAGGCGATCCCGATTTTCTCTCGGTCGCCAGATTCGAGGCTTGAATCCGGAAATATTTCGGTCTTGCCTGGAAATTTTGATCAGAGGAGTCGCGAATGCGGCCTCTGGGTCATCGAAATCCACATACCTGGCCGCGGCACCATGGCGCGCTAGGGTTCTTGCAGAGAATCGACGTTGACGAAATCCTCCCGCGGAGCTCCATAGAACAGCTACTGCAATGCGCCATCGCTTCTGGCGGCTATATGCCACGTGGCACCGACGTGGCCGTGATATGCCGTGACGTGGCTGCCCACGAGATAAATGCAAGCTTAAAGCATATGCTCTTGCGCAATCCCGCCCTAAGTGGACCACGTGGCAGGGTCAGGTGTTAGTGGTAATGGCGAGGTGAACGAGCGCCAAGGGCAATGGCGATGGCTGCGCCGGCGTGTTTGCATCACAATGCGGTGGCGCTCCAAGCTAGGGATCGAGGATTCTCGCGGCGGCGGCTAAGAATCGCGTGGTAAGTGCGAGATCGCAGCTAAAACTCTTGTTCTGGGCTTGATCGTATGGAATTTCGATATTTCAGCGTGAAATTGGACGATCCGTCCATACAACCGTCACCTTTGAAGCCGCAGCGGACGTTCCTGGACAATGCAAGCAATGCGCTCACGAATTTTCTGAGCGGTGGAGGGATCCAAAACATGCCTGTCGCGGACGGTGCGATCTCGGACCTCTTCTCCAGACCGCTGTTCTTTGCATTGTATGACTGGTTTCTTGAGGTAAATCCGGGTGACACTTGCTGGAATTTACTTACATGTTTCACTTTCTTTGCAGCATGGGCCAGTTTATAAGCTTGCTTTCGGACCGAAAGTTTTTGTGGTCGTTTCAGACCCCATTGTTTCACGCTACATTCTTCGAGAAAATGCTTTCGGCTATGATAAGGTGCGAGTGTTTTACTCAGTTGTGAGCTGGTTATTGTATTTTCATGGTCTCAGGGTGTTCTTGCAGATATTTTAGAACCAATTATGGGGAAAGGTTTGATTCCAGCTGATTTGAATACATGGAAGTCGAGAAGACGAGGTTAGTCTGTACTTTTGATGCAGGTGTTTGACAAGTGTGTGATTTGTGCAGCATTGGTTCCCGGTTTCCACTCGGCTTATTTGGAAGCTATGGTCCGTGTGTTCAATGACTGTGCTGAACGGACCGTCTCCAAGCTCGACGCATTGATTAAAGATGCAGAGTCGAAAGGTTCCAACGTCGTGGACGTGGAAATGGAGGCGGAGTACTCAAGCCTCGCTCTTGACATTATTGGATTGAGCGTCTTCAACTACGATTTTGGCTCGGTGACAAAGGAATCTCCAGTTATTGCAGTAAGCTGTAAAATATCAGACTTTCGTGCATGATAACAAGTTGCACAGGCAGTTTACGGGACTTTGGCTGAAGCGGAGCACAGATCAACATTTTACATTCCTTACTGGAAGTTTCCTTTGTCACGCTGGCTCGTTCCAAGACAGAGAAAGTTTCATGCGGATTTGGGCGTCATAAACGAATGCCTGGATGATCTCATTGGAAGGGCCCAAGAAACAAGACAGGTCTGGTGCTGTTATTCCGACAAAAACTTAATTTTTTCACTGTTGAGCAGGAGGATGATATTGAAGCGCTTCAACAGCGGGATTATTCCAAAGTCAGAGTATGTAAACTATCTCTGTTGCGAAACGCTGACAGCTGCATTCGACTAGGATGCGAGTTTATTGCGATTTCTAGTAGATATGCGAGGGGAAGATGTCGATAACAAACAGGTGCATTTCTTAAATTCTGGAAATCTAATTTATTTTGTAAAATGCATAGCTTCGGGATGATTTGATGACAATGCTCATTGCTGGTCACGAGACAACTGCAGCCGTCCTAACTTGGTCAACCTTCCTATTAGCACAGGTTAGATCTCTCTACAGCTGTGCTTTTGATTTCCAATTTGTCTTATGCATTAAAACAGAATCCCACAATAGTCACGAAAGTGCAACAAGAAATTGACACAGTTCTGGGGGACAGAAGGCCAACGTTAGAAGACCTGAAAAATCTGAAGTAGGTGAGAAGGATTGTGGCTTTTGATTCTGAGCTTGCGTTTTTGTTCAGATACACAAAACTCGTCATTGCAGAAGCACTTCGTTTATATCCACAACCACCTCTACTTATAAGGAGGTCATTGCAGCCAGATAAGCTCCCAGGTACAAATCTTTCGAAATCATGAATAACTTGGATACGTTCGACTTTCAGGAGGCCACAAGGGCGATCCAGATGGATACTCCATTCCCAAGGGGACCGACATTTTCATATCTGTAAGCCCGTGTAAACACACTCGGCTGGCTGACCACCTTTGCTTAAATTCAGGTTTTCAACCTTCACAGATCGCCATACTTCTGGGAGAATCCAGAGTCATTTGATCCCGAGCGTTTCCTAAGACGAAGAGTCGATTCGAGCATTCCGGGGTGGGCTGGCATTGACCCGACTAAACTTCAAGGTCTCTATCCAAATGAGGTGGGTGAAAAGTTCCTAACAGACGCTTTCCATGTAAATGGACACGTTCTTTTTCTGGCTGGCAGATAATGGCGGACTTTGCTTTCCTGCCTTTCGGTGGGGGCCCTCGTAAATGTGTTGGTGATCAGTTTGCGTTTATGGAGGCTACAATCGGCTTGGCCGTACTTCTCCGAAAGTTCAGTGTTGAGTTGAGAGGCTCCCCTCAAGAAGTTGAGCTTGTCACGGGAGCGACCTTGCACACCAAGAATGGATTGTGGTGCAAGCTGAGCAAGCGGCAGAGTTAAGCAATTGAAATCATCTTTTGACTCTCTTTTCCCTGACTTTAAACGCGTGACCATACAGTGAGTTAAGGAGTCCTTGCTTACTCGTGAGATCTAACAATAAAATCTACGTGTTTTTTAACAGACTGGATGCAAACCCTGCAACGAGATCTCGATCCGACAGACAGACAAGAACATGATTCCTCCCGAGTGATGGAGACCTTCTCCACAATCTCCGACAATGCCGAGTACTACGATTCTGCATGCGAGTGCATGTGAGAAGAACGCAAGCGAGCTAGCACAAGCAAGGGATCAGTCAAGCAGGCAAGCAATCAAGCAAGCAGGCGTCCGATTGACAAACCTCGTGGGAAATGTGGAGCGACAAATAAAAGATAACTCCAATGAAGGAAAGGCAGCAACAGCAGCAGAGGATCAACAGCCATCACATATCTTGCTTGGAATCAAAAAATTTCACAAACAGTGCGGACACAGCTGGTGGTGGTACTGCCTTCCGCTGCACGGCTAGCTGGACTCGGATCCACTCACGCACTGCTCAACTCACTCTCGCACGGCTGGAAACCGAAGACGCGGAGTTGGAGCAGCCAGGTAGGACAAGCAAGGTACACTCTAGTCTCCTGCCTAGTGCCTATATACATCTCTCTTCAAACATTTGTGGACGCTTCTCACAGGTGGGGTGGTGTTAATGCCTCCAGACAGACCGAGAGAGCGGCCAGAGCGTAAACTGTAAAGGCGCAATGTCAAAAAAGAATTTTTCATATTCCCCAAGAAGCGTTTGGTACAAGAACAATTCGAGCTGTTCAACCTCTCCTTTCATCCCCGCAAGCAGCAGCCAAGCATCGGCAGCTTTCAAGCTTTTGTAAGTGTCAATCAATCAATCGGCCTGGTGGTTGCTCTCTAACTTTTTTTCGTTTTTTCCGGTTTCTGAGAAGGCCCCCCTCTGCTGTGCTGCCCATGGGAGGAGGGAGACGCGAGATTCGTTTCCGTCCAGGCAGGAACACCACAGCACCGTGACTTGGACCGCGGGAATATATATTTAGTGTCAGCTGTCTCCGTTGTGGGTGTCAACCGCGCGATGGGAGAGGTAAAAGTCAGCTAAAGTTTGTTTCTTCTCAGCTCTCGCTCTTGCGTGTAATGGATATTGGAAGTCCTGCCTTCGGTACAGGGAAGGGACCGTATTGTACGCCCTCTGTTGGCCCTGCAAACTCCCATCTGCGTGTTTCACGAAGGGAGAGAAAAACAAAGCATGAGGAATCTTGGCAGAGGAGAAGAAAATACGAAAGACAAAGCAGCAAGAAAGAAAAGAAGGTAAGCTGGTTTCTGTTTTAGTACCTGAACTGTGTGGTAATGTTGTGCACCAGGACGAGCATTTCCAGCTTCGCCAGCTCCCGTCCGGGGCATGAGTGGATTCCATTGCCGAAAGGCATGAACGTATTGGGCTTGGGATGCTCCTCGAATCTGGAGGGGTCGAACTTCTGCGGCTCCAGGAAAAACTCGGGGCTGTGATGGATGTTTCTGAACAGAGGCATCACTTTCCAGCCCTTGGGAATCACGTATCCTGCCAAAGCAAGTTCCGGGTAAAACGGTTAGCTTCCTTTTCTTTTGCCAACCGTGATGTTACAGAGGGAGGGGCTGGGCTACAACTTCTTACCGTTGTATTCCACGTCTTGTACCGCCTCTCTGAAAGTAAACGAGAGGATCGTCGCCAGCCGCATTGTCTCTTGAATTACCTGCGGTGTCAAAGGGAAACGTGTAAGCGACCAAGAGAACCGCAAGCAAAAACGATCACTACTACAAGCTCGACGACTTACTCTCGAAGTCAAGGGCATGTTTTTGGTGTCAGCCCACGTCAAGCCTTTGGCACCCTCGGGCTTGCTTCGCCTTATGTTCTCATGCTCGGCCTGCCAGCGACGAACACGAAAACGCGGTCAGTCCACGAGAAGTTCTTCGTTTTTCTAACGAGAGTTTGTACCGTGACAGAGTCGAGGAGCGCGGGGTTCTCCTTGAGATACTTGAGGAGCCAAGTGAGGACGCTGGCGGTGGTGTCCTGGGCCGCGAAGATGACACCGATCACGTTGTCGGCGATCTGATCGTCGGTCAGGTTCTTGCAGCTGTCGTCCTGGGATTCCATGAGAGTTGACAGGAAATCCTTGCAGCGCCCATTGTCTGCTTGCTTCTGCTGCCGCCTACGGTCCAAGATGATGCGGCTGACGATGGAGCTCAAGCGCTTCCTGGCCTGGAAACAAGGACACGAACCAAAGCGGGATCTTTAGACACGCATCGCAAACCCGAAAACGAAAACCACACAAAAAAAAGAAAGGAAAATGAAGAGGTGGAGCAAGCAAACAAACACATTTGACGATTCCCTACGCGAGTTCCACACGACTGCGACCAGTAAACCTCGAGAAATGAAAACAAAAAAAGCGAGCACACCACACGGAAAACAAAGCGACGAACAAAGGTGTTCTTCATGGACATGTTGAGGCGGAGAAGATATTTCTCTCGCCAATCGTGGGCCGACGCACGGAGAATGGCACAAGCCACTCGTGAAGCCACACGACCAAAGCACAGTATTTTTTAAAGTCCCACTCAATCAATCAAGCAAAGACCAGCACCAGCAGCAGTAGCCGCAGCGGCCGCCGCGAGACGAGGGGAGGCTCGAAATCGTTTTCTCGCGCTCACAGATCCCACAGCCACACTCGTCTTTGTTTCGAGCGTGTGGCTGGCAGCGCGCTGGCAGCGCAGGAAAAACCAAACGAAACCAAGAAAAATCTGCTCAGCGGCGAGATTTTTGTGCCAGGAAACAAAAGTTGGGACCAGGAAAGGCTGGAGAAAGAAAGAAAAAAAAAAAGGAAAAAACCACAGAAAAAAAAAAACTCAAGACACGCCTCTCCCAACGATCCGGGTGCGACGCGCTACCTCGGGGAGATAAGACGCGAGCGCGAATAAATGGGCAAATTGCAAGGACAGGAGGAGCGCAGGAGCCAATGGAAGAAGAAAAGGCGAGGGAAAAAAGAAATCCGCCGAGAAGCATCGATCCATCCAAAAGAGATGAGCCAGGGCTGTGATGTACGTACCTTCATGGCGGCATTGTAAGGGGTGCCAGCGATGTCAATCGGGAATGAGTTGTAGCCGCGTTCTAGCGTCTGGTAGGCGCGCTTGAGGTCCTCCTTGTCCAGCTCGTCCAGGGAACCGCCAAAGATCTTGAGCACGCCAACATCGAATGCGTACTGAGCACCGATCGAGAACCAGCCAGTAGCGCGAGCCGCACAAAACAAACAAAAAAACAAAACCGCTTTGATCAGCCCAGCCAATCCATGGTGCCAAGGACAAGGGAGGATCGTGTCGATCAGGGCAGAAGAAACGCGATCGAAAACAACCAAGCGGCAAGAGGTAGACGAAGATCGAATCTAGAGCATATTCTAGAGAGAGAGGGAGAGAGAGAGAGAGAGAGGCGCTTGAGGAGCTTGCTTACTTTTTTCATCTCCTGGAATGTGTTGATGATGCCTCCGGCGCGATCCAATGAATCCAGTGCCTGGATTGAGATGGTTTCCAGCTCGGGGACCAGATCGCGGATCACATCCGGGCCAAAGCATCCTTGGACGAGGCGGCGGAGGCGGCGGTGGTACTCTCCCTCGTGGAAGAAGAGGGCGTGCGGCCCAATTATCCCTTCCTTGCTCGATGGAAAGGTGGTCTTGAAGAGGTGAGCGTGGCTGACCAGGATGAATTTGGCAGCCTCGGGGCTCGCGATCATCACCGATGGGCAGCCCAGAATGTGAGTCTTGAAGATGTCGCCATACCTGCATTGGAAACGAGTAGTTTGTGAGTAGGGAGGCAAGAGAAAATCTCTCCCCGAGTTTCTAGATCGGGCAATCGGGTGAATGGATTGATTGGTCGATCGGTGGATTGTGGAATTGGTCTCACTCACCTCTTTTGCTTGGAGCTGAAGAAGGCATTGGGATTCTGCGAGTAGAGCTGGAGAGTCTCGCCCAGGTAGGGCCATCCCATGGTGCCCGGCGGCAGTGGCAATCGGCCCAGGGCATAGGAGCGGCGGGCGAGCTTGAGCAGAGCGAGCAGGAGTAGCATCGCGGAGCCAAGGACGAGCAGCGCAAGATCAGCCATGGCCGAGGAGGCGCAAAAAAAAAATAGGAGAGAAATATTTTTGCTTTGTCTTGTTTCTTTTCTCTTTTCGGACGCTCGAAAAACCCGTGGGATTGATCACTCTTTCTTCCCACTGTCAGCGAGGGAGAGAGCGAGAGGGAGAGAGCGGCGGGAGCGATAGCGAGCGAGCGAGCAATCGAAGCAAAGAATAACAGAGGAAAGGCCAAAAACAGAGCACCAGGCAGTAATCACATCCAAAAACTCCAAATCGGTGGAGAGAGATCAATCGCTTCTTCCCGGAGCCAAATTCTTCAACAAACGGATTCAAGTTCAAGAATGGATTCAAATGGACGGATTAGAAAAAGAAAAAAATTGAAAAAAGAAAAGAATAAATTCCTTCTTTTCTTTGGCTCGACCGCGCTCTCTCTTGCGAGTTTGTGTGAAGGGTGGAAATGGGAGGAATTTATAGGGCGCCACCACAGCGGGGTCCATATGGCGGGTCACAGCGCCCACCTGGCAAAACTGGGTACGTGTATAGCTCGCGAATCGCTTCACCCTCTACTTTCTTATCCACACCCCCACAATCTCTTACAATAATCAGCATGGATATTCCTTCAATCCCGGCATAGGAATATTCTTCCGCCACCTTTCCGGAAAAAACGGAATCCCTGTTTTCCTGCCTGCCCTAATTCCTCCTTATCGAAGGTTGACACCTTTTTCATTTCTCGTTGACTTTACACCAGTGTGAAAAAGAAAAGGTTGATTCTGGATTCTGAAAATAATGGGAGATTTTTCTGACACAGTGGCCCAGCCAGGAGGAGAGGGGAAAAAAAAGAGAAAGGCGATTAGTACCAATCATCCCAACATACTACAAAGAGATCTTGCCTGTGAATCAAAGAAAAATCTTATTCTTGTACACTTACATCAGGAGCAACCATCACAAGCCACATAACTTTTCTGTATTGCATGGAACACACCACAAACAACACACAAACACATAAGAAAGGGAATATCCCCATGACTTAACAATAAGATTTGTTTTGCTTTGACACCACTTCTTGGGTGGATCACAGAATCAACTTGGAAATGCTTAACAGCAAGCAGCATTTCTTTGCTTGTTCCACCCAAACACATTCAACCTTTGTGACAGGAACTTGGCCTCAGATTGAAGGTGCAAGCAACCTCTGCCATGCACAAAACCCTCTTTTCCTTTACTTTTCTACTCTGTTTTTTTCTTTTTTCCATATGAGCCTCTGGCTGCTGGCTGATCACAATCTCACAGGAATCAAATACTGGTGGAGTTATTTGCACCTGTGCGCACTGTACAAATCCTCCCCCAAAGGAGCTCATGTGGAAACCAAGAAATTCAGATTCTCGCCCTGAGAAAGGGGGATTTGGGATATCCAATGAAAGTGCTGGTGGATGTCTGCCATGATCACTTCTCCAGGACACCATGCGTAAACATCCTCAAGTCCATTATGATTTCCTTCGCCACCTTCCAGAAGTTCCAATCATTGTGCTTAAGGTGTTGTTAGTCCATAGACCATCCAAATCTTGTGATCGCATCGTTTTCCTCTGTTTTGGAAACACAAAAACACCGTATATCATAGTATCATATCTGCTTTTATGCTGGAGAGAAAATTCAACTTCAATGTGTAGCAGCGTGTGTGATGTCACTGGAAAAGAAAAATAAAACGCTTAAATAAAAAGCACAGTGGCCCCTCCAATCATGAAATGAGAGAATTCCATCGATTCAATCCAGGCAAGCGAGGCACCACATACACACGTATAAAAAATCACACACGACATCTATATGATAAGATCTCATCACCTTTGACAACCAGACCTCAACTTACGATGGAATCACGTCACTGTTCTAGAGTGTGTTTGCCAACCAACACCAACGTCATGGTCCTCAAGAACACTGCTCCACTGAATCTTGGCCCCTCGCGCTTTCCACTGGGTGTGGAACTCAACTTGGGCTTTTTTTAATCGCTCGCCAGCGTGCGTGCCAAAGCTTTCTCGTTGGAAAAGTTCTGTATCAGGTTGGATGGTGTCCCTGGCCAGCCTTGCAATTCAACGAACTTGGTGAGAACGAGAGGCGAGCTGCGAATTAAAATACCTGCGTAGACCGTTTGTCGCTTGTACGTGATTGGAGCGCCAGCCGAGCTGAAAGGGCAAAAAAAGAGAGCAAAACAAAGGAAAACAGCGGAAAAAAAGTGAAGGAAAACGAGAGGCCCGACCCGGTCCCGAGCGAGCGAGCTAGATAGAGCTCTCTTTCTCCTTTTCGCGTCGCGAAAACTTGTCGCCTAGCGCGTCCAGTGCAGCTACACTGGACTGGACTGGACCCCCAATACCTGAATTCCTCAAACAAAACAAAAACAAATCTTACCGAGGCGGCCGCTTTCGCGTCGATACATTGCACTCTTCCAAAAACTAATCGCAACTTGGCTGGGGAACACGGAATGTAGCGAGGAAAACACTTGGAGCGAAGCCTCACCTACAGACAAAAAAAGAGAAAAAAGAGGAAAGTTTCCGCTAGCGTAGCTTGTTTGAGCTTACCACTGGAGTAGGAAGGATGGGATTCAATCGCCATCAGTATCAGCTTTTGGAGGATCAGGTTCAAAGAAACTTCTTCGTCCTTGTCCGCAATGACTAGCCAATCACGATTTACGATGTCCCTGCTATTCGGATGTGCACAGCAGCAAATCTTTGTAAGAGATTCATATATTACACAAGAAAACAGAAAAAAAAAAACAACAACAAGGCTCTATAAACCCTCTGGCTGGCTGCACCACTTTTGCGACACTCAAAAAAGCCAGAGGAATTAAACCCTCGCATACCTTTACGCGCAAGCCTATCCATACCAATCTCATTTGTTTTCGAACTTCAAGCCGTCCGCATTGGCATGGAAGAAGGTACTCTGGTTTTTCTGAATAAATCTGCGTAAAGACAAGAGCACTGTCAGTCAAATGAGCGGATGAACTGGAGATATACTTCAAAAGGTCCATCAGCTTTTGTTGTAGCTGAGAAGCTGCCTCCTCTTCCATATTTACATATTGAAGGAGCTCCGGAAGTTTCACTGCAACACACACAAGATTTGGTTGAATGAACCATAGCAAGACACGTAGAAAAGTACCAAACAAACGGAGAAAGTGTTCAGCTCCATACACAGCGGATGGCGTGGATGTGTTATTAGCAAAGACTTCTACATGTTGCTTACGTTCCTCCTTGTATAACAACATCAGAGGAAGAGCCTTGTCGAAATAAGAGCGAAGGCCATTAAGTATCTCAACCAGAGAGTCTCCCCTATAAAACGATTAGTGTGGACTCATCCACCATAGAAAGCGAAGTGACGAGCTTACGGTTTTGTCTTAGTTTCTAGATATTTTTGCAATATCTCTTCGACGGAGGGACTTTTTGGTAGCTTGGCTAGCTGAAGCAAGCAAGAAAAAGGAAACACGTAAATTGTTATATCGCCAGGAAAAAATTAACTTTGCGGCTCTCTTACCTTGCTGCCTTGCGTAACAAGCTCGCAGTCCTCTATAAGAAGCTTTTTCAAAGCAGCTGGCAGTGAAAACTTTAGTGAGTTATCCTCACCATCTTTTTCCTGCGAAGGCCCCTCAATACACAAGTCTTAAAAGAGCAAAGAAAACAACCTCAGACTTGCGTTTCCTTCCTTTTGTAGCTGCCTCGCATCAACCTGGTACGTAAACGAGGTAAACTACTGCCGTGAATCTTACCAGTGCTTGTGGCTCCCTTTGGCTTTCCCTGACCCATCCGTCCTTTCCCACGCTTGTCCGCAGCTTGCGTATTGACCAGATGCTTTTGTTTCTCCAAATTCTCTTCGTTCAGAGGCAGCAGACGCTCCTCCCCAATCCATTCGTCCCAGCTTCGAAAAACAAAAAAAGAAACTCTCAGCTGCAAAATCACGAAGAACATCACGACAACTCACTTCTTACTCCATCCCTGTAACATACAACCCAGAGTTTCAACCTTTGAAAAACGCGAACAAGCAAAACAAATCTTACCAGGTAATGCACGAAGTATTTCCATTCGTTCTTTCGAAGCTCTGCCTTTTGAATCTACGAGTAGAAAAAAAAAAAACACAATGAAAGAAAATCGAGAAAACCAAGAAAAAACGCTACCTTGGCTTCGTAAATGAGAGGCCCGTGGTAAGCAAGCACTTTGTCCCCATCCTTGAATTGGGTCATTGCGATTTCCTTCTCGCCAGTGGTATCTTCTTCCGCTGGAGCATCCAATGGAGCGCTCATTGTCAATCGAGGTAAAAACAAATCCCCTGCTAATCCGTTTAAATCCGGCCGGTCGGCTGTCCTTAAGCTGCTGTGAGGAAGATTACCTTAGATCGCACTCTCTGCCGCCATCGCTACCCTCCACTCCACAAGGAAACCTAAAATTCCCATTCCCTCTCTTGGAGAACCCTGATTTTACATTTGAATTTTAGTAATCGTTAACCGTTGGATGACCACGGCCGAGATCCTGCCACGTTGCACTAGAAACTCCTTTGAAAAAAAAAATTCTAGGGCATTGTCGGTGATCGTTTGCTTGCCCTGGAGCGACGATGGGCTATCTCTCCAATCGCGTCGATGAGGCGTCGCTCCAGCCCGGCGATCACATCTACTCCTGGCGATCCGGCTACGCCTACGCGCATCACGGTAAGTGCTCTCGAAAATCTAGGGTATTTCCACCGCATTGCCACGATTCCTAGCTTAGAACTCGCGATCGTCGCTCTCTCAACTCTCTCCCAATTTCCAGGCATCTACATCGGCGAATCGCGCGTGATCCACTTCACCAGGGGCCGGGATCAAGAGATCGGCACGAATACCTTCCTGGACACGATAATCTCCAGCTCTGGCCCGGCTCCATCCACGGCTACTTGCGAAATCTGCGGCAACGAGCCAAACAGCCATGGCGTGATCAAATCGTGCCTTTCGTGCTTCCTCGCCGGCTGCCCGCTCTACAGATTCGAGTATAGCACCTCTCTCGCAACGTTCTTCGTCAAAATCCGTGGTGGTACGTGTAGTCTCGCCATTGCCGATGATCCCGAGCTGGTTCTCCACCGCGCGAACTATCTGCTAGAGAATGGTTTTGGGTGCTACCATATCTTCCGGAACAACTGCGAGGACTATGCGATCTACTGCAAGACGGGGCTTCTCGTCAAGGATAGAACTGCGATTGGTCGCAGTGGACAGGCGATTTCTTTCATCGGGCCCCCGGTTGCCGCCATCCTCTCGTCGCCATTCCGGTTCCTCATGTCCAGCCCGTGGGGATTTGCTCTCTCCACAGTCGGGGTCTACTACGCGAGCAAGTACGCGGCGGATGTTGGGATTAGGAACGACGTTGTCAAGGTTGCGGTGGAAGATCTGGCGATCAACGTGGATGTGGGATTGGAGCGGTGAAGATTCGGCGGTCTCCGAGTAAGAACTTTCATGTTTCTTTGAGATTTCAAGAGTGCTTTTCGTTTTCTTGTCCAGGTACTATGAGACCATCTATAAGTTTCGAGTAAGCCTGAAAAGTTTCGAGTTTCAAGGAAAGAGATCTCAAGTTTCTCTTTGTTTCTTCCAGGTGCCGTATATCATCAAGTTTCCTGGTAGACAGTAAGTTTCTATACTCTTTTATCAAGAGTTCTAAGTGCCTGTTCCGCTGATTTTTTTCCCAGGTGCTTGCTTCCATCTAGAATCGACATGGTATTCAGTAAGCTATCAAGTTTTTCCAAGTCTAAGAAAGGATTAAAGTTTTGGTTTCTTGTCTTTCAGATACCACCATATTGTTGTGATGTTATACTTCATATCGGGGTATGCCATTGTTATTTTCCATATGTAATATCAGTGTGTTCCAGTTGTCCAAAAAAATTTCTCAAAGCTTTTCTCAAGCTGCTTTGTGTCGATCAAAAGAGGCTTTGCTCTTCCTCTCTTTTTTGCTGGGAGCTTCCAATCCCTGGCTGATCTTCCTCCAGCTCCTCACGACGATTGGGAGTGGAATGACGACCCAAATGCCATTCATGAAGATATAGTAGAACCAATAGTAGAGAAGCCCACCCTTGGAGAACTCTTTCCCGGCCAGGATTGGTTGGCCAAAGTAGACGATGTCCCCATAGAGCTGGCCCAGTGAGACCGCGAGCTGGAGCGTGTATTGGTAGGACTTTCTCTTCGCGATAGCGTATCTGGAAGAAAGAGAGAGATCCAAGAGTGAAAAAAACAAAGTTTTGATCGAGAGGAAGCTCACACTGCGAGTAGACACGCCGGCCCTGCTAGAACAGACGTGATTCCTTCCACGATAACAACGGTGGGATCACGAGCGCCATAGCGCGAATCGCCATTGTGGTATTCCTTCCCTGGAAATCGATCAAAGTGAAGCGAATCAATCGATAGGCGACGGATCTGGCGACGGATCTGGCGAGATCTATGGACTTACAGACTTCGGAGAGGAAGCAAATCTCCTTTTGCTTGTAGAAATCCGGGGTGAAGACGAAGTAGCCCTCGAGGATGATGTGCGTGAGGCCCGAGAATGCGAACCAGCACATAAGCAATCGATCCGTGGCGCCGAGGTAGCGATATTTCCCTGCAGAGAAGCGCGCGCTAGATCGGTCAATCAATCTTTCTCACAAAACTTAACTCGAAAGAATCCAGATCGAGGCAATGACCAGCGCCGACGCCGATCCATACACCGCGAGAATCGAAGCAATCGACAGTTGCGCGGGGACGAACCCCGGGATTGTCTCCTCCATGGCGATGAAAGATCTATCCGATAATTTCTACCGTACAGCCAGGGTTTTCCAAACTAGTATGTTCGTACAAAAAGTCAACACTTTCGTACAAATTCACCTAGGGTTCGTCAAACAGTTCGAATGAAAAGTTAAAGTTTCGTACACTAGGAATCGTCAGAAACTTGGGAGATATATTCCATGCATAATCACTCCGTACTCCAGTGTTTTGTATGTACAGTTACCGTACGGATGGTGCTCACAGCCAGCCTCGCTTCTTTGGGCACCACTTTAGCTGCCTCCACTCCACCGTCTTCTCGGCGCGCTCCTCCGGGCTCAAGAACTTAAACGAGCTCCAATCGCTCATCACCCCGCGCAAGTCCTCGAGCTTCTTGTCCAGCCCCTTGCAGCAATTCGAGTGGATCGTGCACACCGTCGCCGGCCTGCTCGTCCCGATCTCGCAGAAGTTTGCAAACACCTCGGTGCTCAGGAACCGGATGCGGAGGCCGAGGCTGGCGAACCGGGGCGTGAGCTTGATCTTGTCCAGGACTTCCTGGTCGTGCTTGCCCAGGAACGCGAGCCGCGACTGGTACCAGAGCTTGTAGAAGGCGATGGTGCGGGGATTGGACTTTACGTGGACGAAGCCCCCGTTGGGACTGTTGGAGAGATCGGTGGCGTTGCCATTGTAGTGGTCGCAGGCGATCTCAAAGTCGGTGTTTCGAGAGAAGTGGTCGAAGGGATCGCGGAACCACAGGATGTCCGCGTCCTGGAACGTCGAAAAACCACATATAAGTCAAGGAAAAACGCTGCCGTACAAAACAACGAGAAGAAGAAGAAAGAAAAAAATAATAAAGCGACGACTTACGGAGAAGACGAAGTTGTAGCCGAGCTCGAGCACGCGGCGGAGGAAATCGATCCGGCTCCACATCATCTTGAGATAGTCCGAGGAGCGGAAGAATTTCTCGCCGCGGAAATCCACCCCGGGTGTCTTGAGCACGAAGCAAAAGCTGTGGATGTCGCGGCAGCGCCGGTACGCGACCTCGTCCAGCGCCACGATGAGCAAGTGATCCAGCAGCGGCCGGGTCCCGGTGCCGATGCGGAAGCTCTTGAGGAAGAGATCGATCATGCTCTGGTCCCGCGACCACGCCTCGTTGAGCGTGGTGAGGATCACCGTCTTGTTCCGGAACGCGGTCGCATTGAGCAGCTGCCGGAGCTCCCGCAGCTCATCGCTGCTCTGGAAACAAACACCGAAATTCTCAGCCCCAAAGATCGCGAGGACTCTAGCTATGGCGAGGATATTTCGAGCGAAATCTCGAGAGATTTCGCGAGAATCGAGTAATTTAGAGGGAGCGCGCGTGATCTAGAGAGCGCGCGGCGAGAGAGCGGCCACTTACAAAGGTGTGATTGAGATTCTCGACCGTGTTGCCCCATCCAAAGACGCGGTGGAAGGATCCCGACCAGGACGACTCCGAGAGCAGCGCATAGGCCGGATTGGACCGGAAGAGCGCGTAGGGCGCGACGAGGAGGCTGATGACGATGAGCAGCAGGACGATCCATCTGTGGTTCTTCGAACAGTGATCCACATTCTCCATCGAAAGGGTTTAATGCCCAGTAAACCCTAGATTATATTCCTCTCTGCACGGAAGCATATTCACGACACGTGGTGGAATATCCCGTGCCTGACCTTCGTTGCTATTTCTCAAAAGACTTTCCAGATGGGGTTTTGAAATTTAGGGTTCCTGGCTAGCGGAATGGCGTGAATGCGCCTTCTACAATGCCGGATCCGGTGCCGCCCCAGCACAATCGTTGAGCGCAGGGTAGAACTAGATCGTTTCTCGTGGTTTCAGCATGGAAATCCCGCCGCGGCGAGCATCCCAGCGCTCCTGATCGCTCTCAAGGCCTGCGGCGTCGCAAGGGAGGTTCAATCCGGGAGGAAAATCCACTGGGACTCGGCCAGGAGCGGCCTTGGCTCGGCGATTCGCGTGGCAAATACGCTGATTTCTATGTACGCGAGGTGTGGAAGCATTGTGGAAGCCAAGCGCGTCTTCGATGGAATGGAGGCGCCCGACACTGTCTCGTGGAACGCTCTCATCCAGGGATACGCTACAAGTGGTGAGGATGATCAAGCGTTACAGCTTTTTTTCCAGGCTCGGGGCAGTGGTTTAGTGGATTCTCGGACTCACGTCTTTACTCTCATGGCCTGCTCCGCCATGGCCGAGAAAGAGGAGTTCACTTTCATCGATGGAAGGTTTTTAAAGGTGAAGTCTCTCCGCTTGGGCTTGGCTGTTCACTCTCACGCTCGCGACTTGGGTTGTGACGCAGATATCTACGTTGCTGGAACGCTGGTGGATATGTACTCCAAGTGTGGAAGCATGGAGAACGCTGTCAGTGTGTTCGAGAGCATGGTAAATCCAGACGTAGTTCTTTGGACAGCTCTGATTCTGGGCTTTTCAGAGAACGGGCAACCCGAGGTAGCGCTCGAATTTTTCCAGCGCATGCAACGAGAAGGCTATGAACCAAATGCTCGAACTTTCGTGGCGGCATTGGTTGCTTGTGTGGAAATGACGCTGAAACACAGAGGGAAGCAGGGAGAAAAGGTGGTGAAGGCGAAGTGCTTGGAAATTGGGAAACATCTCCATTCTCAGGCTGCGAGAAGGGAATTGGACTCGGAGCTTTTCGTGGCTAGCAGCTTGATAGATATGTACTCCAAGTGTGGGAGCGTGGGGGAGGCTTGGAAGGCTTTCAGCGGTATCAAGAGGCACGACGTGGTTTCGTGGACGACAATGATTCTGGGATACGCAGAGAATGGCGATGGGAAAAGAGCTTTGGAGCTCTTCGAGCTGATGCAAGCTAGAGGGTGCTCACCAAACACCCAGACTTATCTTGCGGCGCTGCTGGCTTGTACAACTATAGTCTCCAGCACAGAAAAACGAAGTGATGCCGAGATGAAGCTCCTCAAATTTGAGTGTCTGGAGAAAGCTATGGGGATCCACTCTCGAGCACTCCAAACCGATATCTTTGTGGAGAATGGGCTCCTGGATCTTTACGCCAAGTGTGGAAACATGCTCGACGCCCGGAAAGTCTTTGACATGATGAAGTGTCACAACGTGGTTTCCTGGAGTGCTCTCATCCATGGCTATGCACAAGACGAGCATGAAAGCCAGCTGGCTTTTGGGATGTTTGCGTCAATGAAGAACTCGGGTGGCTGCTTGCCGGATGCTCAAGTTTACGTCGCTGTGCTTGTGGCATGTAGTAATGCGGCAGGCTTCGACACAGGGAAAACTCTCCACGCAGAAATTTGCAAGCAGGGACACGAAAGCAACGAGTTTGTAGGGAATTCTCTGGTGGATTTCTACGGTAGGAACGGCCGTGTCGACAAAGCTGAGCAGGTCTTTGATTCGATGCCAAACAAGGACTTGGTGTCGTGGAGTTCACTGCTAGCAGGATTTAGTCGCCTGGGAGATGCTACCAGAGTTTTCCAGCTCTTCTCGGAGATGCGTGAAGCAGGAGTTCAAGCAAACGCTGTGACTTTCCAATCGGTGTTGTCGGCATGCAGCCACGCTGGGCTTGTCGAAAAAGGGAAGAAGTGCTTCAAAAGCATGGATCTGGAATACGGGGTCAAGCCAGGGATAGAACACTACCAGTGCATGATCGACTTGCTGGGGCGTGCGAGCCATCTGGAAGAAGCTCTGGCTATGGTGAAAGGCATGCCTTACGAAGCGAATGTGATCACCTGGACGACGGTGCTGGGTGCCTGCGAGAAGTGGAAGAATGTGGAGATTGGCCGAGCGGCGTTTAACTCGCTGCTGGAGCTGGACGAGCAGCGTGGTGCTGCTTACGCTTTGATGGCCAACTTGTATGAGCGCTGGAATGTTGGAGAGAAGCAGCGCGAGACTGGAAGAGATCTACAAAGCTGACGTGAAGGTGAGGAACTCTTTTCCTCGTCTCTTTCATGCATTTGTTCTAAGCTTTGCTGCTTCTTCCAGGCTTGATTGATCCATGGAAAAGGTACCAAGTTCTTCGTTTTGTCTAAGTATCAGAGCTCATACTTCTCTTGCAGATGCGCATAAAGAATGAAAGAATGCGTTGCGTGACGTGCTGAGAGAGACTACCACGGCCGATATAATTCCTCCAATCCCGCCTATATGATCGGTACTGGAAATTCGAAGAACCAAAAGGAGGTAAAGCTCGTGTCTTTGTTTATAATTCCAGGTGTGTGTGTGTGTGTGTGTTTTTTTTTTTTTTGATGGATTTAGGCGTGGCATCCCATACGTATGTGTGTCCTCTTCGTCTAACGTGCTATTGTTTTTTTCTTGCCAGCCAAAAGTCTACAATTGCTCAAACACTGTTCCAAATTTATACACCTTGCATCTTAGAATGCATAGCACATATTTGCGTATGATAGTTTTTCTATTAGTTGTGAATATGCCTGTTTTATTTTTCTCACTAAATTTGAATTTGATCAAGACGATTGGTTAGAATGTATGTGTTACAAGAATTTGCCAGGATGTCTTTTCGAAAGTTACGTGTAGTTTGGAAAGTTGAGCAAATAAGATCTCCTTTGCTTGAATTTTCAACGAATCTCTCCTGGAATCTTTCCTTTCCAGAGAGAGTTTTGTCTTGATTTTTTACCCTGTGTTGTTAGCTCGCCACCATTGGTAAAAAATTAAGGCAAAACTAGCCGTACAGATCCAACGCGATAAAATTATTAAGATTTACCTTAGTTAGGGGATTTTATTAAGCATAATGTATGATGTTTAGGCATCCATGTATGTGTTAGCCCACGCCGCACACATAGTAGTCGGGGAGAGGCTTTGGGCCAAGGCTAGGGTTTGGTGTATCGAACGCAGTGGCTCAATCGGGGGATGGCGAGCTCCAGGGCGTCGTCGCAGGTGAGCGCCTCCACTTGCTGGCAGCGATGGCGGATTCGTGAGCTCACCGGCGGCTCTCTCAGCTGCTTTTGCCCTTTTTTCGACGCTTCCAATCTGCATTCGCTCGAATCGGTCCCCTTGCGCGCCGGGGAGAAGGAGGTAGCTTGATCTTCCCCCTTGTTCTTGGATTTCTTCCTCTCTCTCTTTCTCTCGCGATATTTCTCCACCCCCAAGCTTTGATTCGTCCCCACCCTCCCTGTTGCGCTCGCCTTTTTCCTTTCCCTTGAGAAATCTCCCTCGATCTGGCTCTGGAGCCGCGCCTCCAATGTGAGGGGGTGCCAAGGCCCGAGACGAAGAAGAATTTGATGGCGGCGGCCGTGGAAGCGTCCGCTGGCTCTTCGGCAGAATCAGCAAAGATGGTGGAGTCTGGGGGCAAGGGTTCGTCCAAAGCGCCGCCAGGGCTTAGCATTAGCACCCCAAAGGGCGCATGGTCTCAGGTGGTCCGCGGGAGCCATACAAGCAACATGGAGGGCGAGAACACGAGCGCCGCCGCCGCCACCGTCACTAGTCCTCAGGGTGGCCAGGAATCGCCGGGCACTGGGGTGGAAGCTAGCAGCGCTGCCACCACCCCGACCAAGCCTGTGAAGCAAGCGTGGAAGAAGCCTACGAGTCCCAAGGATTCTCCCGCAGGGCCAGTTATGGGAGCTGTGTCTTGGCCAGCGCTGGGCGATACCGCGGAGCAGAAGTCATCTCTGGCTGCTACTCCAGAGGCTCAAAGCGATTACCAGGTAGTGTTTCCTTGTTTCCTTCGTATTTTTATCGAGCTAGCTACGGTAGTGCATGGTTGAGCTGATTCGGTTTTCTCGCTTGCATGGCAGCTCCCAACATCGCCTACCGTTGCCGCTGCTGCCGCCGATGCGAGCAAGCTGAAGGGAAAGAAGCTTGCAGCTCAATCGACGCCTTTGAACTCCGAGACGAATTCTTTCGTTCCGAGTGTGGAGCGGGCTTCGAAGTTTAATACGGAGTATTCGAAGCCCAGTGCTGGAGGAGGAGGAGGAGGTCTTGGGACCGAGAGAGTTACTCCTAGGACTTTTCATCAGCAAGGAAACAGTGGAAGCTATCAGGGGAATCGGCGGAACCCAAGGGAACCCAGACCGAACAACAACTGGAATCCTCAACGAAACAACTATGGATATAATCGTCTGGGTCCGAGGCATTATCCGCCTCCTCAAGCTACCTACGTGAATGTGAATCCTGGATTTCCTCCTACAGGTTTGAAGCTCTCACTTTGTTTTCGCATCTCTGAGGTGGTGTTCTGTTCTTTCACGCAGGAGCGATGTATTATCTTTCGCCAACCGCTGCAAATCCCATGCACGGTCCTGGATTTTATGCCGCTCCAACTCCACTTGTACCCGTCCCCGACCATGCGTCTCTCAGACAAATGCTGGTCAAACAGATCGAATACTACTTTAGGTGCTCAGGACTTATCTCTCTTTCCGTAAACCAACTTTTCGCCTTTCTTTTCAGTGTTGAGAACTTGTGCCGTGACATATTTCTTCGCTCGAATATGGATCATCAAGGCTTTATACCAGTTTCAACGATCGCATCTTTCAATAGAGTGAGTTTGTTTTTCGTGCTACGGGATCAAAGCTAACTTTGATGATGCTCAGGTGCGGTCCTTGACGTCGGACACGAGCATTATTCTGGATGCTCTACGGAATTCCGCGGTGGTCGAAGTCCAGGTACGTGCTATCCGCTGCATTCAAGTCTCTGACTATGTTGCGTCAGGGGGATAGACTTCGGAAGAGACACGATGGAGCGTCCTGGGCGCTCCCTGCAGACAATTCGCATATGGTACCCACTCGATATGTGTACGAAGCCGTGGCAACTGGAGCGGAAGAACACACATTTCAGGGCGTGAGAAACGGCGACATTGAACAGATCCCAAACCACGCCCCGAAACCGAAGGCTGGTGGTCTAACAAACGCGTTTGCAGGCAGTAGCTCTGCTAACAACATGGATCAGACCTTCAAGATGGACGAGGAGTTTGACCACTCGGATACGTACAGGTAGTACTTCTTTTTTATAAACTTGTTTATGCCCAGTTTGATATTCAGCCACGATGACGGCGAGGAAGATGATTCGGATGTGAAAGATCACGATGTTCAACGATTATTTATTGTGACTCAGGTAGGCATTTGTTTATGTCCGTTGTTGTATGATATTTATTTTTTTAATTCTCGTTGACAGAAAGGCAAGAACATCAGAAGTTCTGAGAGCGGACAGTGGAAGGAAGGACTTCCAGATGATTTAGCTGAACTTATTAATGACGGGCTGTACTACTACGAACAGGTCTGTTGTTCATTTCCATGTGTGTGTTGTAATCTCCTGGAGATTGGAATTCAGAAGCTATCGAAGGAGGAAGCAAGTGTAGGATCAATTCCCACAGCGGAGGCGAATGGCAAATTGCGAACGAGCTCGCGTCCTGGTCGGCAGCGATTGTTTCCTTCGAAGGAACGAAAGCACTATGCAGAGAGTCCTCCAAGTGATTCTGTTGGGTTCTTTTTCGGTACGACACCAGCAGACGTTCAAAGGTTCGATTATTTTTATTTCTGTACTTTTCATGTCAGCTGAGGCGTTTAACTCGTGGGCTTCAGTGTCTCGGCGTCGATTGCTACTTTGTCCGCTGCTAGCCCACCTGTGGGGTCGATACCGAAGCCTTTTCCACGTTTCCAACATCCGAGTCATGCTCTGCTTGAGGACAATGGCTTCAAGCAGCAAAAGTAAGTGTCTTGCAGTTAGCTTATCTATCTTAATCTACAATTCCAGGTACATCAAGTTTTTCAAGCGTTGCATGGCGGACCGCAAGCGAGTCGGCATGGGTTGCAGTGAGGTAAGGCACCTGTTTCTATGATTTTGCGTTCATCACAATGCCCGTGTGGTGGCTGTAGGAAATGAACACCCTCTTCAGATTTTGGTGCTATTTTCTGCGCACGAATTTCAATCGTGTAATGTACAAACATTTTCGTAGTTTGGCTGAGGAAGAGTTTCAAGCAGGCTTTAGTTACGGCATGGAGTGCCTTTTCAGATTCTACAGGTTCGATGCTCGTTCTCAAGTTTCTGAACTAAAAGCTTTGTGATTTCAGTTATGGGCTGGAGCAGAAGTTCAAGCAAGACCTGTACGAAGATTTTGAGCAGCTGACGCTGCAGACTTACAAGCAGGGTAGCCTTTACGGCCTCGAGAAATACTGGTAAATACGATTTGAGTTTAGAGAAGCGAGTTTTGATGGATCAAATGTGCAGGGCTTTCCATTTCTATCGCGAGAAGAGCAGTAAGAACGCTAGCTGCGGAGTCGAAACGTTGAGCAAGCATCCGGAGCTAGAGCGGCTGTTGAGCACCGAGTTTCGGACGCTGGAAGATTTCCAGCGAGCAAAGGGTGTGGCGGTGCCTCCTCCGGCACCGTCGGTGGAGAAGTATGGAGTGGTGGCCAACGCGAATGGCTGGTAAGCAAAACGAAGGTCCATCTCCTCTTTGGAAGAGCTCAAATCAAGAGAGAAGCAGCAATCCATCACCAGGCAGAGAAAAGATCGATCGTCTTCGTCTTCGTCTTCGTCATTGGAGTTCGTCTGATTCTCTGGAATAAAATCGCGGCGGCGAAGAAGAAGAAAGAACAAAGAAGAAAGAAATTTGGTGGTGGCTTTGTGTTTTTTGGGGAGGTGACAGTGCTTGTTTTAGGCGAAAGTTTGTGAGGACGATTTCACTACTCGGCAAAAAGAAAAAAAAAAGAAAACAAAAAAAGAAGAAAAATCGATGAAAAAGAAGGGCTTAAAGAAAATTAAAGTGGGTTTGCGTAATTTCCGAAAAGCCAAGTGAATGTAGGGCTGTTTAGGGTTTATTGTAGAGAGTGCGCGATTGGCGATGGCGATGGCGATGGCGCGGCGGAGGATCTGACTGAGGTAAGCGCCGCGGAGGAGGAGAGGAGCTTAGATCGGTGCCAGGGATTAGATGTGGGGTGGGCGCGGCAGCAGACATGTACAAGGACCGCGGGCGCCCTCCAGCAATAGCAGCGGCGTCGGCGGCGGCAGTAGCAGGGAGTAGCAGGAGCTATGGCAAGCTGGAGCCCTTCACAGAGGATGTGTCTTCTCAGTCGCAATCCACTTCCAAGGGCGGTGGAGTGGGAGGCGTCGGCGGCGGTGGAGCTAATGGGCAGGAGAATCCTTCTACTTCTTCCGGCCGCCGCCATGTAAAGTCGGAAGGATTCGACAAGAGCAAGTTTCCAGACGAGGGTGAGTGCTGCTGCTTCTCCTCTTTTTTGGTTGCTCATTCGTTTTTCTTTCTTGCTCTTGCATTGTTGTTTCCTTTGAATCTGAGTCTCATTCTTTTTTCTTTCTTGCTCTTGCATTGTGGTTTTCACTTTCTTTTTGTCTTTGCTTTGCTTCTAGAGGAGGATTTCGAGACCGATAGCGAGGAAGCCGACGCCAGCGTCTCGGAGGAAGAGGATGTGTCGTGGATCTCTTGGTTTTGCGGGCTCAAAGGGAACGAGTTCTTTTGCGAGGTGGACGAAGAGTACATACAGGATGATTTTAACCTGAGTGGCCTCTGCGCCCAAGTTCCTTACTATGACTACGCGCTGGACCTCATTCTAGACGTCGAGTCTCCAAACGGTGAGCCCCTGTTTGTCTAAGAGAGCTCTAAACACTGTGTTTGTCTTCCTGCAGAAGACATTCTCACCGAAGAGCAAAACGAAATGGTGGAGTCGGCTGCCGAGATGCTCTACGGGCTGATCCATGTCCGCTACATTCTGACGAGCAAAGGAATGGCTGCTATGGTATGTGCTACCTTTCTCGTTACTTAGTTCTCAGTGTTTTCTCCCTTTGCCTTCCCGCAGCTTGAAAAGTACAAGAAAGCAGATTTTGGACGCTGTCCGCGGTTCCATTGCTCCGGACAGCAGTGCCTCCCAGTCGGACAGTCCGACATCCCCAGGAACGGGACCGTCAAGATGTATTGTCCGAAATGCGAGGATCTTTACTACCCGCGATCAAAGTACCAAGGCAGTAAGTGGACTTGCTCGATATCTAGTGTTTCCATGAACTAAGGCCTTGATTTTTATTGTTTCTCCTCAAGACATTGATGGAGCATATTTTGGAACTACGTTTGCTCATCTCCTGTTGATGACCAACGCCTATCTCAAGCCCGCCAAGCCAGTTCAAAGCTATGTACCCCGGATATATGGCTTTAAAATCCACAAGAGCGCAAGGTAGCGACAACCTCTATGCGTGTGAGTTTGCCGCTCCAAGCCAATCCATTCTTCTTTCCAGTGCTTTCATATATCTCCTGCATATTTTTTTGTTCTCTCTTCCAGGTATATGTAGAGTATTGCGCGACGATCCATGATCATGAATTTGATTATATTTTCTGGGAGAAGTCATTCCGTTTCATGAGAAATTTAGCTGGAGATGTAAACTAATTCAAGAACTTGTCCCGTTGACAGGAAAACTTGGAAGAAGAAAGAAAACTGGCTCATCAATGGTGAGCTTCGCTTAAGAATCTATTACCGAGCCTGGGAGTCCCGGACCTGGAGGGCGGCTAGGCTCGGTGTGTCCTCCAATTTTTTGTGTGGTAGTCCATGCACAAAGATTATTTGGTCAAGTTGTGTGTGAGCTCTTCTTATTTGTACTTCTCTTTTTCTCTTTTTTCTGTGGCTTGGCGAGGATGGCTCTTGTTTTCTTGAGGAAGTAAGCCATTTGAATTCTTCTTTCACTTGGTTCTTATTTAAATCCTCCTCCTTTCCTTCTGCAGGCTTCTGTGAGCTTCGATCGAAGTTCTTTTGCCTGTTTCTCGTTCCCCCCTTACACGGCCGATGGCGAGCAAGGTTTTGGATCCAGACAACATCAACGAGAATGTGAAGAAATGCGTGTATGCGGTGAGAGGGGAGCTCTACTTGCGAGCATCGGAGCTCCAGAAGGAAGGTAAAAAGGTAAAGCAGTAGTGACCAATCGATTTTTTCTTTCCTTTTTTTTCTCTATAAGCCTGTGAATTTTCCATAGATAATCTTTACAAACGTTGGAAACCCACACGCTCTAGGACAGAAGCCATTGACGTTTCCTCGCCAGGTACTAGGCACATGACTTCAGGTTCTTCTAATTTTCTTTCGTTTTTTAAGGTCATGGCTTTGTGCCAAGCTCCATTTCTTATGGACGACCCCAACGTAGGCCTTCTGTTTCCTCCTGACGCTGTTGCGAGAGCCAAGCACTACCTCTCAATGACCTCTGGTGGTGTTGGTAAGATATTCTTCCTTATACTTATTTTTTTCTTATATCGTTCGGGATTGTCTAGGTGCGTACAGCGACTCGAGAGGTTTGCCAGGAGTGAGGCAAGAGGTAGCAGAATTTATCCAAAAACGAGATGGATATCCAAGGTACTTAAGTAGCTTTTGATCTGGCAAAAAGCTTGTCAGAAACTGCTTCATTTTGTAGTGATCCGGAGCACATTTTTCTCACCGATGGTGCAAGCAAGGGAGTCATGATGATGCTAAACGCACTAATTCGAAACGAGAAAGACGGGGTAACTTCTTTTTCCTGCTTTACTTAAATAGAGACGATGATCACACTTCACTCCCAGGTTTTAGTGCCAATTCCACAGTACCCACTATACTCGGCAAGCATTGCTCTTTACGGTGGAATTCTCATTCCCTACTACTTAAATGAGGAATCTAACTGGAGTCTCGACTTCTCCGATGTAAGAAACCAGGTCGTCATTGCAAGGAACAAGAAAATTGTCGTAAGTTTGTCTCTTCTTTCTTAAGTACGTTCATTCTAAGATTCCTGTAGGCAGCCCCGAGCTCTAGTGTTCATCAACCCCGGGAATCCCACTGGACAGTGCTTGTCCGTGACTAATCTCCAGGATCTTATTAAGTTTTGCTACAAGGAGAGGCTTCTCCTCATGGCGGACGAAGTTTACCAAGTTAATGTTTACCAAGATGAGAGGCCTTTCGTGAGCGCAAAGAAGGTTGGTGATTTATCATCCTTCTGTTCTCCAAGCTTACTTTGTGTTTAAAGGTGTTGATGGACATGGGAGCTCCGTATAGTAACACTGTAGAGCTCGTGTCGTTTCATTCTGTATCCAAAGGCTTTTTAGGCGAGTGTGGACAACGTGGTGGCTATTTCGAGATGACAAACATCCATCCACAGGTAATGAATTTTCTTTTGCCATCTTCTACTCTCTTTTTTTCCTGATTTTGATACAATCTGTATGCAGACGGTGGAAGAGCTCTACAAAGTGGCCTCGATATCTCTTTCTCCAAATGTTGTTGGCCAGATCATGGTAAATAATTTCTTGTTTATCTATTTTTGAGCTAAATTCTTTTGAGTGTGAACCAAACAGATGGGACTCATGGTAACTCCTCCCAGGCCATTTGACATCTCGTATCCTCAGTACCAGGCCGAAAGGTAGTTAATCTCTGTTCCAAAAACTCTACGAGCTAAGATTTTCAATTATGAACACAGCAAAGCGATTATAGAATCGATGCGAAGGAGGGCTCACATTATGACTGATGGATTCAACAAGTGCGAGGACGTAGTTTGTAACTTCACAGAAGGTTTGCTTTTGTTTTTATTTCCGAGGGAATATGAATTGACGAGTTATTTATTTACCAGGTGCCATGTACTCTTTTCCCCGGATCAAGCTTTCAAAGGCAGCTATGGACGCTGCCGCTCAGGCAGGAAAAGCAGCAGATGTTTTCTACTGCCTCAAGCTCTTGGAGGCGACGGGAATTTCCACGGTCCCCGGCTCTGGATTCGGCCAAAAAGAAGGGTGAGAACTTTGGAAACTCTTTTCTCTCAACACAAGCTTTCGTTTTTGCGTAGAACTTTGCATTTGAGAACAACGATTTTGCCATTGGAGCAAGACATGCCAGGCATCATGGCCAAGTTCCAAAAGTTCCATGCCGATTTCATGGCACAGTACAGCGATTACAGTGTTTCAAGCAGGTTGTAGTGTATCCAAAATTGAACCGCTACTTGACCGGGTAGCAAATATTGTTCCCAAGGTTCTTGGTTCTTATCTTATTATACGAAGCTAAGGAATGTTATTACAGCTTCAAACTCTGGAGCTCACAATCTCCCAGACGAATTTCTCGAGATTTTGCAGGGAGACACCGCCAGGTACTGTGACTGCCCGTTTCATCTTGCCGCTGAGCTCTTCAACTCTTCGCCGTGCTTCCCTGCCTTGGTCTTCCTTCATAGCCAGACGTATCACCCTCTCCACCTCTTCTCTACGAACTTTTCCTTGGGTCTTGTCAAATCCAAATCCAACTCTCCAGTTCTCCACAACGAGCCTCCGGTTTAGATTCTGATCGAACAGACAAGGCCAGCATAGAATCACCTTACCGCTCGAGACACCCTCTATAGTCGAGTTCCATCCACAGTGAGAAAGGAAGGCTCCCACCGACGAGTGCGAGAGAACCCGAGCTTGCGGAGCCCAAGACGTGACGAATCCTTGCTCCCTATTCTTGTCGCCAAAGCTCTCGTAGAACTCGTTGGTGTTTTCATCCTTGCTCGGCCTCGTCACCCACAGGAACTTTTGCTTGCTCGCGACAAGCCCCTCGCCAAACTCGACGAGTTCTTCGATCGAGAGCTCGGCGACGCTGCCAAACGCGATGTAGAGGACGGATTTGTCCGGCTGCTGGTCGAGCCAGCCGAGGCACTTTGGATCAAAGCTCGTGAACCCGGTGTCCTCTGGACGATCGCCAAGGAGGAACAGCGGACCAACCGGCAGGAACTTGTCGCCACCTATGGCTTGTTTCATGGCCCCCGTGATCTCCGGCTCGAGTTCCTCGCAGGACGAAACGAGGGTCCATCGGGCTCTGACGAAAGCATCGGCATTGCTATTGATCGTATGCTCCTGCCAAGGTCGATTGTTCCAAAAGTGCCAAGGTATGTCGGACCTTCGCAGCTTGACTGGTTTCTCCAAGACTGGATAGTCCTCGTCTTCGGCAAGCTCTGTACGGAAGAGAATGGATTGGAAGAACCTGGGACTTTGATCTAGAGCTAGCTTACCCGGATCTTCCATTGGAACAACTCCGGTCGATACCAGCTGAGCCATGTTGGATTCAAACCAGCTCCAAGTGACGCACCCAGTGAACAAGATCGCTCCTGAAATGCCGAGCTTGCTCGCAACATCAATCGCCCAGCTTAGTTGATAGTCGCAAACCAGGCAATCCACAAACTGGAGCTCCTCCAAGAATCTCTTGAGGGGCTCTGGAAACTTCTCCTTCCAGTGCTCGTGAATGGGAGTAATATCGAACCTTTTCGACGCGGGGGGACGCTCGCGGTGGACGTACGGGGTGCCTTGGACTTCCACCAGAGTTATGTCCGTGCCTGGTGGTGGCCAGGATTTCTTGCGAAGAATCGAGTCGAGGGAGCTGAGGAGCGCGAAAGTGATGGAGAATTTGTGGACTTTTGAGAGGAAAGCGCAAAGATGCATCATTGGAGTGACGTGACCTTCACCCGTGAGTGCCAGCGCCACAAGGTGAGGCTTCCTGGCCCCCATTTTTCTCTCCTCCTCTTCCTCCTTTCCAATAGCTACAATGATTTTGGTTTCCTGAGCTCTGTTCTTCGTTTGTCTCTTCCATGTTTGGTTCAGAGACACCCGATAATACTGAATATATATTTTCGTGGTGGGTATAGTCCAGCAGTTGGGAAGTATCTCCCAGTCTTTAATTAAAAAAAGGATATTCCAAGTATAAGCGCAATAGTTTAACGGTTATAATTTATAAATTTAAACTTTCATGTTAGACAAAGTTCAGTTCTTTTGCATGATCATTAATGTTTATTCAAAATCAAATTCACATTAGGGATGTTACACAGGCCAAACGGTGTCCGCCACCTCCTTGTACAAAAATCACGTCGGCTTTGGCCTCTTTCAAATGTATTCACAGTACTTGTTCGATTGCTGTCGTCTCGGATTCGTGCGTGCAGCTCCGTGTTCGTTAGAAATCGTAGTACGTCTGTCCCCTGGATTGGATCATCCACAGTTTGCGAGATCATCTCGTTGGCCGGCAGGAGTTTTCGACCTTCAAGGCACATCGAAGCGCCGTCGACTGGATCAAAGCTGATTGATGATCATGGTGGAACGAAGAGTTAGGATGGAATGGAGATTTGTGGTTGATGGATTGCTCGTTCTTCATTCCCTGGGACGGGCTGACCACAGAGAGCTCAAGGCTCGGAGCCTTGCAAAGTAGTCGCCCATCGCCAAAAGTCCCCTGGCGGCTTGTCTCGTGGTGAGAATCCTGTGCATTTGCTGGAGCGTTTGCTGGCGAAGGTTGTCAGCCTGAGTCATGTCCAGTAGAAACAAAGAAAAAACGAATCAAAACAAGGACATTGATATCGAATCCAAAAAGCACCAACGAAAAAAACGAACAAAGAAGAAAGAAAAACAATAATGCCCCATAGAAAAAGCTGTGGAAAACTAAGGCAGAACTTTCATTATGGAGAGCAAGACCAAGAAAAACTGCTGGAAATGAAAAAAGAAGAAGAAAGAGTTTGGCTTTACCTGACGAACAAAGTTTTCCAGAGTGCCGAGCTTCCCCATGGCCATAGCCATCTGTCCCATGTAGTTTGCGACGTTGGACGAGGCCCCCAGCGATCCCGAGGCCAGAGTGTCGGAGAGGGACTGCTGGAGAGCCTCCATTCCCTGCGACAAAGCGTCCTCGGCCTGCTGCGAGGATTGCTGGAGGTTGCAAATCCCCATCAGCTGCTGCTCGGTGAGGGGCTCCAGCTGTGGAATCAAGATCTAACAGAAAAAAACAAATTTTTTCATCTTCTCGTCAGCCAACTTAAGATCGATACGATACAGCTTACCTTGAGAAGCTCCGAGGGTCTGAATCCTCCCATCCACATGAAGCAGCGCTCGGCGGGAGACTTCCACATCCCGGAGACGAGGTGGAAGACGTCGGCCTTGGCCGCGACGCTCTTCATCCGGAAGATCTCGTCGTAGTGCGCCAGGCCGTTGTCCACCAAAACTCTCAGCTCGTTGTCCGCGACGTGAGACTGGAGAGCGCTCCGGAGCTCGCATAGCTGCCTGTGTTGCTCTTCCAGCCACCGTGCGTAGTCCATGTCAAAGGCAGCGGCACCTAAAAAAACGCTCGAGTCATTCATTCAATCAAATGGTTTTCCAGTTTTCTCTGGTTGGTTTTTTCTTGATACCTGGATTTAATGGTGCATTAGCTCCGGCGAGGTGCTCTCCATAGCCCCCGGCACCGACGTAGAAGCCCTGCTAAAGAAACGGAAGAAAACGAGAGAAAGTTAGTGTCTTGTTTGGAACTCAAACACTAGAAGGAAACTCAAGGGATTTAAGAAACCTGTTGACGAGCGCGCTGAAGCTCTTGCTCGAGCTGGTTTAGTTTCATCCGGCTCGATTCAAGCTGCTGAACGTATGCCTGTTTATAAGTTTCTACTTAGTAATATGTTCTTCAAAGAAAAGAAGATGGGAATTATACCTTTTTTCGTAATCGACTCTTGCGAGCGGCCTCTCGATTCTGGGCCAGCCTCCGCAGTGCCTGGAAGGTTTTCTTTCCTACAGTTATTCCAAGAAGAAGAAAGGAGAATTCAAACCTTTGCATCCAGATTTTTATGCTCGCGGCGATGGTGGTGGTTTGATCCTGCTGCCCCTGCTGCTTGCTGCTGGTTTTGTTCTGACTACACCAACAACAAAACACTGTAAGAAACACAAGAGAAAAGGTTGCAATTTGCGAAAACCGAGAAAGAACTTTCACCCTTTTTTGCTGTACTACCTTGATAACATTAGTTTCCATGTCCGTGGAGGTGTCGGTCCTGGGGCTGTTGTTGTCCGTGGTTCTCGAGTCCCCCCAATTGTCCAAGCGGCTAGTTGGCGACTCAAAGCCAGGTTGAATGCCGCCTCGTCCCGAGGACGTGTATTGCGAGAACCGAGAGTCTGTGCTCGCCGCAGACGGTGAGGTGACTTGCGACGAGCCTGGGTGCTGCTGCTGGATTGTAATGGTGGTGGCGAGAAATTTGCAGAGAGATCAAAGCGGAGTTAGCAAAAGTTTGTGCTTGTTTGAGTTCTAGAAATCACACACTCACACACACGCGCGCACACACCTTGTTGTTTGGAGGGGTGTTGTCGAAGCGCACAGGACCGGCGGGAAGAATGTTCAACGTGTTTCTTGCTTGGGCGATCGCGCCTGGCGACACGGAAAGGAGGAGAAAACAAAGAGAAATGTTGAGAGGCATTTAATCGCGGAGGAATTGCTTCGTCAATCATGAGGAGAAAGGCTGCTCTGGAGAGAGAGAGAGATATGGGAAGAACTTTTCAAACTCTCATGTAGTATAAATCCACTAACGGGGTCAGGAAACGGAACTATGGAACTTAAAGGAGATGGAAGGATTTCTTTTCTCTTTTCTTTTTCGAAAGTTCTGTAGAACTTACTTCGTCTTTCGAAGCTGTGCTCGCTGCCACCGTCGATCCCGAAGCTCAGAGGCTGCTCCAGCTCTCCCAGATCGTAAGCGCCGCTCTGATCTCTCAGAGGATCCGCCACGAACGATCCTCTACGCTCACAAAGAAAAGAAAAGAAGGAAACCATTAAACCATTAGTAGTGTTTCGCCATAGCCAAGAAGAAGCAAACAAGCAACTTTAGGCAAAGCTAGCTACGGAGAGAGAGAGAGAAAGAGAACGAGAAAACGAAAACGAATGATCGGAATGCGATGCAAAGCAAAAACAAGCAAGAATCCATGACCCTCTTGCAAGGAAGAACTAGAACAAGGAGAGACAAGCAACTGTAGAAACGATTTACATGTAATGCGGAGGAGCAGCGACTGAAAGGCCTTGCATGCCCTGGTGATGATCGCTTGCGAGCGAGCCAGGCAAGTGGAGCAAAGGCACGGCCTCCACTTCTCGATTCGCAGCTGCCATTCAATCCTGGGAACTTTGCTCTTGCTGGTGCTGGTGTTGCCGCGGCCTCATTCTCCGTTCCAAATCCCTGTGTGACTCTACAAATCCTTCCTTTCCAAGGTTCCAATCTCAAGCTAATGCTTCTGGAGAGCTCTAGACCCACACCCAAAATCTGAGAAACGAGCTTTCCACCACTCGCGGTTTCTCCTTTCCTGTCGCTGTAAGTAAATCTACACGGAAGATTTCTATAGCCTGGAGAAGATTTACAGGAAGAGATCGACACGAGCTAGTTGATCGATCGAAACCGATCGATTCATCGATTCACGAGTCGAAAGAGTCGATGAACTCGAGAAGAAAGAGCAAGTGGATTGAAAGCGCTAGTGAGCGCCCGCTATAGACCGAGGAAGAAGAAGGAGAAGAGTGGTCAAAGACTGTGTGATACATTCATTATAATGCCTTGGGATGGCCATGCATGGCCATCGATGCCCATTCCCATACCATTATGACCTCATGATAGCCGACGCATGGCATGCATACGTGGAGGGTTTGAATACGCCATCACGTTTGACTCGCCGCCACATCGCGCGGAGGTGGGCCACGTCACGTGTCAGTTATCTGCCACGTGGCCATCCGCGCGCCCTAGGTCTAGGCTTCCACCTAACACAAGGGCGACCTGGTCAAAGCAGGATTACTTAAGCCGGAATCCCAGTGCCTTGCGGTGTCGTTATCAAGGTAGGGAGAATCTTCGCTTCCTCGGGGGAAATTTCTATCTTAAAAAGAAAAAATGTATTAGATTGATCAGAGTGTTTGATCTTTCGAAGCATTGTTGTTGGGATTTTAATGTCTTAAAAAATTAAGATTTCTTCTCTCCAAAATCATAGGGATTGACATTGTAAAACCAGAGGTATCACTTTCCCGGAACAAGTCTTGTTATTCGATTTTAGCGAGTCGCACGGGCTTCTAGACACATCACTTGACAAAAAAAAGGAGAGATGGAATTGAGATAGGGCAAGAAAGAGAGGTTTTTCTCCTTGCCAACCTTCCAAGGCCTAACTTTGTTCCCCAACTATAGACGCACTACATGATCAAATCAATATCAAATGGGAAATTTTGTGTACTAGAAAAGATCGTTGCTTATACAATTTCAATGTGTGACCCCACGTCACCTTGTCCTATTCTTCGCTGCTTCTTATATTTGGAAGATTCACACACGGGGCATTTGCTCCTTAGGCCCTAGGTTAGCAATTTGTATAGGTAGTATGATGACGTCACCTGACACGTCGGCGGGCAAAAAGTTGCAATTGATTGATCGTGAGTAAGCCAGGGAATGAACGGATAGAGAGTGTAGCAAAGGTTGGAGGAAAAGTGGCATCAATCATAGGGAATACAAGGTTTGGTGGCATTCAATGCAAACCCTAATGCTGAAAATTGTGGCCACAGAAATAATGGATGCTTGCCTGTGTCGAAAACGGAAGGACAAGGATAAGAAAGTAGCGCGATGAAAAACTTTTATAAAAAGTAAAATAAAAAGAAGAGATCTTCGACAAAAGCAAGCAAGCCACGACAAAGAATGTGGGCACTGGAGAGGAAGGATTGTTTGGAGGGGAAAGAAACCCTTTGAGGTGATCCATCCAATCCAAAGTGCCATCAGTCACAAACAATCTAGAAACCCTGATATTTCTTGCATGGCATTTCTTGAATGAAATCACACTCACACACATACATATC